CCGCATGAGCACCACGAATCAGACGGAGTGGCAGGTGGCTCTTGCGTGTCTAATGTCCCTGTTCCTTAAGGATTTATGCTAAGTAGAAACCTCATAAAATGTCCATAAACAAAGTCTAAATTCCTGGTTGGTGCGGCAGCAGGAAAGGGCTGGCACTCCAGGGGCTGAAGGAGAGGCAGCTGCATCCTGGGGATTTTCTAGTGGGATCGGCTGTCCCCTCCTGGCAACATTTCTGCCTTGCCTTTGTCCCCATGCAGGTGTGTTGCAGGAGAGGGAGGTCCGTGAGCATCTGTCGGCCTTTCGGCCTTTTCAGAAGAACGAGGGACTTTCCAAGCCTGCAGGGAACGGAGGAAGCATGACACTGACCAGGTAAAGAAAGAGGGGAAAGCAAACACCAAGCAGGGGGAAGGGTTTACTGTGGGTTAAAAGTGACCAGTTCTCCTATATTTCTTGACTAGATCCATCTAATGAGGAAAAGTTAAACAGGAAAGCAGTAGGGATTAAAGCCACAGGGGAAGAAAACCCAGTGAAAAGATACCAGTGAAAAGAGATGCTTGGCAAGTGGAAGTCCTTCCCCAAAGAAGACCCAAATGCCTCCAAGCTGGAGGTTCAAACAAAGCCAACTGAATATAAGCATGGACCTTCCAACACCTAGCAGAGAAAGGGTCCATTGTGGGGTGAAAGTGGACAATTCTCCTGTCCCTGTTGAGAATCATAGTAATCTGGTGCCAGGGAAGAAGTCCCACTGGCGAGAAGCCATAGGAATCGATAGCTTACATTCCCCTCCATTGTGCAAAGTGGAGTCAAGTTCAGGGAGACCTGGAGAGCTTCCAGCCAGGCTGTATCTCTGCCTCCAAGCTGGAGGTTCAAACAAAGCCTGACTAAATATGAGCCTGGACCTGCTGCTCCCTGCAAAGGCAACTTATCTCCAGGAATTTTAGGAAGGTTACCTGGACCCTCTGAGCTGGAGCTGAAGGAGGCCAAAGGCCTTGTATGGATGGATCTTCCTTTGCTACACTGACTGCTGACAGGTGGGCATTTCCTGCTTTTGGACCAGCCACCTCTGCCCTCCCTCACAGCTCTCAAAGCCACGCAGGACATTTCTCAGGACAACCCCATAAGCGGGTCATCAGTGTACATACCATCCCCAAGGAAGCTGCTTTTTGGAGGGGCATTCAGAGAGGTAAAGGGATCATGTTGGAGGTACAGAAATGAAAATGCTACATTTGCCTTGTACACAAATGAGTGCATCCCTTTCAGCCATGTGTTTCAGGGAGATGTGCAATCTCATGAACCTTCACAGAATGCACACTGGTGACCGGCCTTTTAAATGCACAGAATGCGGGAAAAGGTTCAATTGCAGTGGAGGTCTTATGAGACATCAAAGAATCCACACTGGAGAGAGGCCTTATACATGTGTGGAATGTGGAAAAAGTTTGGCTGATAGTGGAGCTTGTGCAAGGCATCAAAGAATTCACAGTGCAGTGAGGCCATTTACATGCATGGAATGTGTAAAGAGCTTCAGTAAGAGTGGAAAACTTTCTGTACATCAAAGAACCCACACTGGGGGAAAGGCACATAAATGCATGCAGTGTGGCGAGAGTTTCTGTCGGAGTAAACTTCTTAGGAATCATCAAAGAACCCACTCTGGATAGACGCTATACAGATGAATGGAATGTGGAAAGAGTTTCACTGACCGTGGAGGTCTTACGAAACATTAAATAATCCACACTGGGGAGAGGCCCTACAGAAGCATGGACTGTAGTAAGCGCTTCAACCAGAGAAGTCTCCTTGCAAACCATCAGAGATCACATACTGGTGAAAAGCCTTTTACATGCATGCAATCCGGAAGAAGCTGCCATTTCAGTGGCAGTCTTACAACCTGTCAACCAATCCACACAGGACAGAGGCCGTATAAGTGCATGGAATGTGGAAAGAACTTCAGAGCAGAATCTTCATCTTATCTTCATTATTGAAGGCATGGGAATTCAGGAGGAGTGTATGGCCCCAAAATGGGAAGTCTTGGAGGTGCCAGCCTTGATGATGCCTCTGGTTAGCAAGGGGGGCCACTGCTGTGCATGTGAAGAGAATTGGTGAAAGGGCTTACACAGAAGACGGACCTTCACAGAACAGGGACAGTGGTGCAAGGGGGCAAAGGGGATACCAGGAGGAGGCGGCATAATGGGCAAGGATCCTTTGCAAGGTGGTGGGACCCCTTAAGAGGGAGGGGGATCTGGTAACTGGTGTAAGGGAGCAGGAACAGATGTTAAATTATTATCTTGCTTCTGTGCTCTTCCCAAAGTAGTTTTGGGGAGATCGACCTGGGGGGGGGTTGATGAGGTTGGGGTCATGGAGGCCACATTGGGGTCACCCTCTGGAAGCCAAGGAGCTCCTCAAGGCTCTGGATGTCATAAAGGCACTGGGCCAAGATGGGCTACACTCAAGATTGTTCAGGAATAGCCAGGGGTGCTCTTGCATATGTTGTCCTACATTTTCGGGGCCTCGTGCAAAACAGGGGAAGGTCCAGAGGATTGGAGGTTGGCATCCATGGCTCCATTCTTCAAAAAAGGTAGCCAAGGGGATATGGGGAATTACAGGTCTGTTAGCCTCACATCCATTCTTAGAAAGACAATGGAGCCGAAGGGAACAATGGGAGGAGCTGGCGAGAAATGCAGTCCCTCCTACAGCATTGCCTGGGATCCCAAGCAAAAGTTGTTTCTCCCTCCCAGACTAGGCCCACCCCTCAGTCACCCCCAAGCACCACACTCCCTTTGCAGAGCCCTGTGCGGAAGAACGAGAGGTGGGGACGAGTCCCAGAGCGAGTGGGTCACAGAGGGGCTGGAGGAGGCTGGGCAGCCGGGGCCCCAAACCTGTCCAGCCCTCTGAAAACCATCCGAGCTGGGAGGGGCACAAGAGTGCAGGGGGAAGCTCAGCAGTTTCCGACCTGAGCTCCCTGGGAAACCCAGAATGGTCCCGCCTGGGCCTGCGGATTCCGTGGCTTGCATCGTCCCAGAAATGTGGAGCATTTCCTCTTTGGCTGGAGCACAGCAAGTGACTGACCTTGGGGAATCCCTAACCCAGGTGACTCGCATTTCCTGACCTCAGAAAGGAACCCAGGACCACACACACTGAGTTCCTTGAGAATCTGGGCTATGAATTCTGTCACAGTGTAGCATAGGTGGCACAACCTACAGTGGATTGGAGTGGGACCAATTCCTCTCAAACTCTTTGCCAGGTTCCTGGACACAGCACATGCTCCCTTCCAACGCCTGCCCAGGGCTGGTAATTTCCCTCCTCCAAATTTTTCACGGCTGCCAACATGTTTGCTCACCTGCATGCGTGCGCTGGGTCCCTGGGTGCCCACCCCTCGGATGCACTGCATCATCTGTTTATCTGAGCGCGCATGAGCCTGGAAGGGCAACATTTCACCTGGAATGTCCCTAGTGTGGAGAGCCCACAACCCCTGTAGGAAATGGGCTGCACTGCCGTGTTGCTCTGACAGTGACGACTCTTCTGATCTCTAGCCTGAACCTGGCTTGTTGCAACCTGAGCTGATGCTTCCATGACCTGTACTTTGGTACCAGTGAGAAGAGCTCTTGGCATTGCCCTTCGTGCCAGCCTTTGGGGTAACTGCAGGGTGCTATTCTGTCTCCCCATACTCTCTGAAGCTGGCTAAAGCGTGGGGGTCAGGCTAGATGACCCAGGGGACCCCTTCTGACTTGCTCTGTTCCTAGGTTTCAATGCTCTTCACCCTCTATGCATTCGTGTGGCTATTCCTCAGTATGGGATCTCGGTGTGCCATAAGGCTGCCCCTGTCGCTGAAGCTCTTTCCACACTCCATGCATCAGAACCACCCCTCTCCAACGTGGCTTCTTTGAACAACCCAGATGCAGGCTAGATATCTGAAAACGCTTCCTCACTTTCAGAGCAATTTGCAGTACAACTAGCTGCCTGGAGAGGTTGTGGGCTCTCCCATCTTAGAGACATACAGAGAAGAACTGGACAGCCATCAGAGGGGATGGTGCAACGTGGGGTCCTGCAGGAGCATGGGGCACACGGCTGTCATGGCCCCTTCCAGCTCCACTATCCTATGATTGGATGGAGGCCCACCTTACGCGGACCCTCCCATTGGAGGCTGCTGAGCTGCCGCCCTCCCACTCACTACAATGTCTCTTCAACATGAGGTGGGGATCTGCTTGGACCGGCCATTGGGCTATTTTGGGAGAAGAGATGTCCACAGCTTCTGTTTGGTGCAGAAATGTGGGGGTGCGTGTCCCTCTCTATCGAAGAAGTACCTCAGGATTCCTATTTGAGGTCTTTGTGAGCTGTCTCCCCATATATATGTACAGCACGGAACCGTGACTGGGCCTGCGGGCACCCAGTGAGGAGAGGGATGCTGCGAGACTGGGTCTCTCTGGTCTGTTCCCAACAGGGCAAACAGTACACGGCACACAAGGCTCTCAGCTCACTTATGGGGTGTCCTGAGCCATGCTCGGGCTGGCAGTGGGAGTTAGAAAATTTCAATAACTCCTTCTAAAAAACAAAAAAAAAATCTTATGTGGTGGACTTGTGACAAAGGGAAAAGTACTGGATTAAAATACATAAATGCTACAAAAACCCTTAGCTTTTAAACCTGAAGTTTTCTTATTAGGCATTATACCGGAAGATATTAACAAACAAGAAATGTATTTGACGTTACATGTAATCACTGTAGCGAGGATTGCATTTGCTCAACATTGGAAAAGTGAGGAATTACCCACCGACAAACTGATTCTAAGAAAGATTCTGGACTGTGCAGAAATGGATAGACTAACTTTATCACTGAAGGAGAAAGAAGATACTGACTTCTATCAAACTTGCAAACTTTTTTATTATTGGCTGGAGAAACGGGACTTTGCTTAGATTTCAAGATGTCTTTAAGTTGTTATAAATGTATTTAAGTTGTTATGGAATGTTAAAAAATATGTAGTAGGGGGCTGATCCAGTACATCCGATGTATTTGATGATTGATGTTTTTAGTAGTAGTTTAAAAATCTTTAAAGAAGAAAATTTCAATAACTATAGAGCCCAAAAAGCAATAAGTTTACACAGTGAGAATTGACAAAAGCGTGAGACAAACATGGAGACTTACTGACCATGTGGCGCATGGCACGCCAAATTTAAACATATCAAACCTGGAAATAGGTTTTATTTTATTTTTTATTTAAAGTGTTTGTCTTCTTCTTCTTCTTTTTTTTTTTTTTTTTTGCTGGTTGCTTGTGTTCTGATCCCAGTCTCCTGCATTCTTTTATTGAATAGGAAGATTTAGACTGGCAATGCAGCTCTTTCCACATTCCATACATCTATATGGCCTCAAAACAGTGCACATTCTTTGATGTCTTCTAAGACTTCCACTTTCATGGGAGGGATCTATGAAGGTTTGTACGACATCCACTTTCAGCAAACCCCTCTCCAGACTGCAAGCCTGCAACAGGCTTTTCACAGGTATCTGTACTATGATGCTTCATGGGATAATCACTGCAGTAACATCTTTTTCCACACTGTACACGTATCTATGCCCTCACCCCATTGTGCATTGTTTGATTTTTTTTTAAGATGTTGAAATCATCTGAAGATTTTTCCACATTTGATGCACTGATATGGCTTCTCCCCAGTGTGGGTTCTTTGCTGCTTTCTAAGACTTCCATTTTTAGTACAGCTCGTTCCACATTCAGTGCATTTAAAGGGCTTCTCCACAGTGTGCATTCTTTGATGGTTTCTAAGATGACCATGCCAGCTGAAGCTCTTTGCACATGCCATGCATCTATATGCCCTCTCCCCAGTGTGGATTGTTTCATGCTTTCTAAGAGATGGACTCCGGATGAAGCTCTTTCCACATTCCATTCAAGCATATGGCCTCTACCCAGTGTGAGCTCTTTGATGCTAAATAAGAGGATGACTCCAGCTGAAGCTCTTTCAAAGTAGAGTGCATTTAAATAGATGCTACCCAGTGAGCATTCCTTGATGTCTTCTAAGACTTCCACTTTGGGAAAAGCTCTCTCCACATTCCAAGCATCTATATGGCCTCAGCCCAGCGTGGGTTGTTTGATGTCTCCTAAGAGAGTGACTATGGCTGACGCTCTTTCCACATTCTATGCAGTTAAAAGGGCTTCTCCCCAGTGTGTGTAGTTCGATGCTTACTAAGAGAATTACCGCGGCTGAAGCTCTTTCCACATTGGAAGCATCTATATGGCTTCTCCCCAGTATGGGTTCTTTGATGCCTTGTAAGGGTTGCATTTAGTTTGAAGCTCTTCCCACATTCCATGCATGTATAGGGCCTCTTCATAGTGTGGGTTATTTGATGGCATTGAAGATGACTGCTCTGGATGAAGCTCTTTCCACATTCCATGCAGGTATACAGCCTCTCCCCAGTGTGGGTTCTTTGATGTCTCCCAAGAGAGTGACTCTGGCTGAAGCTCTTTCCACATTCTGTGCATTTAAAGGGCTTCTCTCCGGCATGGATTCTATGATGCATTCTAAGATGAACACTTTGGCTGAAGTTCTTTCCACATTCCATGCAGGTATAGGGTCTCTCCTCAGTGTGCGTTCCCTGATGTCTTCTAAGGCTTCCACTTTGGGTAAAGCTCTTTCCACATTCCAAGCATCTATATGGCCTCAGCCCAGTGTGGGTTTTTTGATGACTCCTAAGAGAGTGACTCTGGCTGAAGTTCTTCCCACATTCCAGGCATGTATAGGGCCTCTCCCTAGTGTGGGTTATTTGATGGCATTGAAGATGACTGCTCAGGATGAAGCTCTTTCCACATTCCATGCAGGTATATGGCCTCTCCCCAGTGTGGGTTCTTTGATGTCTTCTAAGATTTCCATTTTCGGTAAAGCTTTTTCCACATTCCATGCATGTATAGGGCCTCTCTCCAGTGTGGGTTCTTTGATGTATTCTAAGGCTTCCACTTTCGGTAAAGCTCTTTCCACATTCCATGCATGTATAGGGCTGCTCTCCAGTGTGGGTTCTTTCATGTGTTCTAAGTAGTCCACTTTGATTGAAGCTCTTTCCACACTCTAAGCATTTAAAAGGCTTTTCACCAGTGTGAATTCTTTGATGCCTTTTAAGCTGTCCGTTTTGATTGAAGCTTTTCCCACATTGCATGCATGTATAGGGCCTCTCCCCAGTGTGGATGCTTTGATGTTTTGTAAGATGTTTACAGTTCCTGAAGCTCTTTCCACATTCCGTGCATATATATGACTTCTCCCTAGTAATGGTAACTTGATGTTTAATAAGACTTCCACCAGCACTGCAGCTCTGCCTACTTTCCATCATTTTTTATAGCTTCCTAAAAGTGTGGGATCCCTGAGGCTCACTAAGACTTGTACTTCTCTATTGCCCTGTCTACATGGAAGCTTCTACAGTATTCTACACATTTCATTTGTCTCTGGGTTTTCTACCTGTAGTTCATTTGGTTCATCTGACTTTTGGTAAGTTGTCACACCCTAGCCCCTTCCCCTTCTTTTGCAACCTTCTGGAATTAAGGGTTATGGTTTCCCGGTCCGTGAGAAATGCAGAAGTGTTTCCTCAGGATCCACACTTGGTTTCACATTTCCTTTTTGATCCTATTTGATTTGGAACTGTCTCTTTTCTCAGTTAGTGCTCACTTGTTTCTCATTGGTGGACCCATGGAACTGTATCCTTTCCATTGTCTTGACATTCACCTGTTCGAGAAGTAACAGAAAATGAAAATTCTTTTTTTTTTAATGTTTTTAAGTTGTCATAAATGGATATGTATATGATTACAGAATTTTAAAAGATATGTAGTAAGAGCTGACCCAGTAGGTCTGAAGTATATGATGACTGATGATTTTAGTATTAGTTTAAAACTTTAATAAACTTCTTTAAAAAAATGAAAATTCTGATAGGAGTTCATGGCTGAAAGGGATGAACCAATTTGAGCTCAAGGCAAAGTCGGCATTTTCCTCTCAACATCTCCAACATAATCTCTTTTCCTCTTTCAATGTCCCAGGGAAAAACAGCTTTCTCAAGGACTACATTGACACATAAGTCAAACCCCAACACATTCACTGACATATAACTGAGCTCAGTTCCCCCAAGGAGTTTGGCAGTGAGAAGCAAAACCAATTTCCAGGGTTGTGACATGCACAGAGAGCATTCAGAGCAAACGACCTCAGAGGGAGCAGGTTCCATCAATCTCATGCAACCTCTCTCTGGCTGACTTGTGCTCCATCTGGGTCAAGGGCTGGATAGGAAGCCTGGTGACCCACTGACGGGGTCGTCCCAAGGAATGATCTGGGGTGCGGTGGAAGCTGTGAGGGAGGGGAGAGGGGGCTGGCTAAAAAAGGGGACAAAACACACGCCTGTCAGCTGCCAGAGCTGCAAAGGAAGAGTCTTCCAGAAGCAGGTCAAGGCATTTATTTGGTCTCTGTGTTTGATCCCCCAGCTTGGAGGCAGAGATATTGCCTGGTCAGATGCAGTTCGGGCCTCCCTCACCTGTCTCTACTTTCACAATGGAATAAATGTAAGCTATCCCAGGATTCTTATGGCTTTGTCCCATTGGGAGTCCTATTATGCCATGAAAGATGATGGCTCATGCTGAAGATCTTCTCTCATTCCAGGCATTTTTGGCATCTTCAGCATTTGGCATCTCTCACTTAGAGAAAGACTAATACCTACTGATTTCCTGGAATATAATCTCCAAAATGACAGAATGGTCTCAGTTAGAATCCAAGGCAAACCATTCAACATCACAGTAGTCCAAGTCTATGCCCTAAGCACTGGTGCTGAAGAGGCTGAAGTTGACCGGTGCTGTGAGGGTCTATGACACCTTCTAGAATTAACACCAAAAAAATGATGTCCTTATCATCATGGGGGGTTGGAATGTGAAAGGAGGAAGCCAAAAGATAAATGGAATAACATGCAAGTTTGGCCATGGAGTACAAAATGAAGCAGGGCACAGGCTGGTAGACTTTTCTCAAGAGAATATGATGGTTACAGCAAACATTCTTTTCCAAAAACCCAAGACAGCCAACACAGAAATCAGACTGACTATGTGCTCTGCGGCCAAAGATGGAGCAGCTCTATATAGTCAGTAAAAACTAGACCAGGAGCTGACTGTGGCTCAGATCATGAGCTTCTGGTTGCAAAATTTAGGCTTAAGTTGAAGAAAGTAGGGAAAAGCACTAGGCCACTCAGGTATTCTTTAAATTATATCCGTGGTGAATATACAGTAGAGATGACAAATAGATCTAAGGAATTAGATCTCATAGACAGAGTGCCTGAAGAACTATGGATGGAGGTTCGCAACATTGTACAAGAGGCAGCAACTAAAACCATCCCAAAGAAAAAGAATTGCAAGAGAGCAAAATGGCTGTCTGAGGAAACTGTACAAATAGCTGAGGAAAGAAGGGAAGGGAAAGACAAGGGCGAAAAGGAAAGATACATCGAATTGAATGCAGAATTCCAGAGAATAGCTAGATGAGATAAGAATACATTCTTAAATGAACAGTGCAAAGAAATAGAAGAAAGCAATAGAATAGGGAGGACAAGAGATCTCTTCATGAAAATTGGAGATATGAAGGGATAATTTCATTCAAAAATGGGCATGATAAAGGACCAAAATGGCAGGGAACTAACAGAGACAGAAGAGAGTAAGAAGAGGTGGCAAAATTACACAGAAGAACTATACAAGAAAGAGGTTAACATCCCTGATAATCACAATGGGGTGGTCACTGACCTCGAGCCAGACATCCTGGAATGTGAAGCCAAATGGGCCTAAGGAAGTTTGAGCAACAACAAAGCTAGTGGAGGTGACAGTATTCCAGTTGAGCTATTCATAATCCAAAAAGACAATGCAGTAAAAGTGCTACACTCAATATCCCAGCAATCTTGGAAAACTCAACACTGGCCACAGGATAGGAAAAGGTCAGTTTAGATTCCAATTCCAAAGTAGAGCAATGCCAAAGAATGCTCAAACTACCACATCATTGCACTCATTTCACATGCTAGCAAAGCTATGCTCGAAATCCTACAAGTTAGGCTCCAACAGAATGCGGACAGAGAACTACCAGAAGTACAGGCAGGATTTCAAAGAGGGAGAGGAACTAGAGATCAAATTGCCAACATACGCTGGATCATGGAGAAAGCTAGGGCATTCCTGAAAAAATCTACTTTTGCTTCATTGACTATACTAAAACATTTAATTGTTTGGATCACAACCAAATATGGCAAGTTCTTAAAGAGATGGGAGTACCAGACCATCTTATTTGCATCTTGAGAAACATATAGGTGGGTCAAGAAGCAACAGTGAGAACTGGACACGGAACCACTGATTAGTTCAAAATTGAGAAAGGAGTTCGGCAAGGCTGTATACTGCTGCCCTGCCTATTTAACTTATATGCAGAGCACATCATGAGAAAGGCGGGGCTAGATGAATCACCAGTTGGAATTAAGATTGACTGGAGAAATATCAACAACCTCAGATTGGCAGATGATAATACTCTATGGCAGTAAGTGAAGAGGAACTAAAGAGCCTCTTGATGCGGGAGAAGGATGAGAGCACAAAAGTTGGCTTGAAACTCAACATTAAGAAAATTAAGATCACGTCATCTGGTCCTCCTACTTCCTAGATGGGGAACAAATGGAGGTAGTGACAGATTTTATTTTCCTGGCCTCCAAGATCACCGCAGATGGGTACTACAGCCAAGAAATTAAAAGATGCTTGCTCTTGGAGAGGAAAGCTATGGCAATTCTAGACAGCATGGTAAAAAGCAGAGATATCACCCTGCCGACAAAAGTGCATATGGTCAAGGCTATGGTTTTCCCAGTAACAATGTATGGCTGTGAAAGCTGGACCATAAGGAAGGCTGAGCACCAAAGAATTTAGACCTTTTAACTGTGGTGCTGGAGGAGTCTCCTCCGAGTCCCTTCGACTGTAAGGTGATCAAATCATTCAGTCCTAGAGAAGATGAACCCTGACTGCTCTTTAGAAGGCCACATCGTGAATATAAAACTCAAGAACTTTGGCCACCTAATTAGAAGGAAGGACTTACTGGAGAAGACCCTAATGCTGGGAACAATTGACGGCAGAGGAAGAAGGGGACAGCAGGGAATGAGGTGCCTGGATGGAGTCGCTTAAACAGTTGGTCTGAGCTTAAGTGGACTCAAGGGGATGGTGCAGGACAGGAAGGCCTGGAGGAATGTTTTCCATGGGGTCACGATGGGTCAGATATGACTTTGTGACTAACAACAACAGCAACTGATTTCCTGATAAACATTCCTTTGGTTAGATTATTAATCAACTCAAGGGATATCTAAGAATTGTCCACTTTTAGGCAACAATGAACCCATTCCCCGGCCTGCTGTTTCCTTTTCCCTTTCCCTTTCCCTTTATCTGGGTTGTGTCATGGTTCCTCTTTTCCCTGCGGTTCCTGGTTTCTCTTTTTCCTGCCGGCTTTTACAGTCTCTCTCCCCACCTCGCGCTCCCTCGTGCTGCTGAAAAGAGCGACAGATGCTCAGGGATCTCCCTCTCCTGCAAACCACCTGCATAAGAACAAAGGCAAGGCAGAAATGTTGCCAGGAGGGGGCAGCCAATCCCACTGGAAAATCCTCAGAATCCAGCTGCCTCTGCTTCAGCCCCTGGAGTGCCACCCCTTTCCCACTGCATGGGGGCTCTGGAGAGTCCTTTTCCGTTGCCTGCGTGTACCTGGGATTTCTGCCTGGATTTATGGAGATTTCGCCAGGTGGTGCACCATGTCCTGGAAGGAAGCAGAAGTAACGCCAATGTGCGTTCTCCTCAGAGTAAATTTGGAGGGAAGGCAGGAGTGAAAGACCAGCATCCTCCCTCCACTTGGAACGGCACCCATGGGAAGGCCCATGCCCCGCTCATGGGTTTCCTCCCTCCTGGGAGACCCTCTGGGGTGGCCATCTTGTCTAAACCAAAGTGAGAGAGCAAGCCCTGGGGTGAGCCAAGCGAGGCCAGAGGCAGTTGGGACGAGGCTGGCAGCCTCCCCGGGCAGCTCCCATGGGTGCTGGTGCAGTGCAAATGTGAGGGGCCCTTCCTCAAATCTCCAGAGAGATGTGCAGGGAGGGGGAGGCATCGCCCCTCTGCAGAAGGGGATGCAGAGCGGATGCCTCCGCCTTGCTGGATTGAGGCCGAGTGAAATGGCGGGCTCTCAGCCTTCCTTCTGGGCCTTCCCGGATCCCCAACACCACTGCAACGGGGGGGGGGGGTTCCATTTGCTCCTCTCCCTTCCAACCCACAAACCCCAGAACCCTGAGCTGATCCCCCATTGTGTGACAGGGATGCACCGGGGCTCCTTGTACAGTGGCACCAGGAAGCGCGGACCCAGATCGGGGCCCCACTGGTCAGCCTGCTGGTGCGGGGTGAGGAGAAAGGTGGAAACCAGGCCACCTCCTGGCCCCGCCTGTTGTCCTGTTCCCCCGCCGCCGGCCTTCAGGGGGGCACACAAGCCCCTCCCGCTTCTTCTCCACAATAACTTAGCCGGGGGGGGGGGGTGAGAGGCGGGCGGCTTGCACGACCCACAATCCAGGAAGTTTCCAGGACGCCTGGGGAGATTGGGACTCGAACTCCGCACCCGCCGCCGTGCCAGGCGAGGAACGGCCAGCCCGGCCTCTCCCGGCTCGGTCCGACGTAGCGCACTGGTCCCACCCGCGCGCACGGGGGGCGCCGCCATCCCGCCCCGAGGCCCCGGAGCCGGCAAGGAGCTCCGTAGGGGCAGAAGCGCCCCCTCCTCCTCCCGCGCTGCCTCGCCCCCCTCCCCGCACCCGGCCATTGCCCCAGGAAATCCCGGGACGCGAGCCCTGCCCGGAGCAATGCACGCCCTGCCACGCCTCGCGCGGGGGGCCGGGATCGGAGGGGCGCTCTGCCGCCGCAACGCCGGGAGAGGGGGGCTCTCCGCTCTCCCCCTGCCCAACCCCCTCCACGCTCGCCCTCCCCCCCCCCGCCTTTCCTCTCTCGTCTACCTTCCCGTCGCGCATTCGTTTCTCTAAGCCGGGGGCCTCCCCGAGACCTCTCCCACCGCTCTGCCGCGTCGCCGGACACTACTGGGCCGGAGCGGAAACGAATCAAGCCCCCTGCTGCCCGCCCACCGGAACAGCTTCCCTGGCGAGGATCGCAAAAGCCGGATTCCGGAGTTGCTGCTCGCTGCTCCGCATTTCTCCGCGCAGTGCAAGGGGGTCTCTCAGACTTGAATGGAATCTCGGAGCGCATCCGCCTCCAACAAGTGCCCCATTAAATCATGGGGGGGGGGGGAGCTTCGTTTCTTTCCACATGGTACCAAAAGGGGGATCGAGAGGAACCTAGAATGGGTCTCAAGAGGGTAACTCGCTGCTTCAAAACTGCTGTATAATCCCTGCCGAATTCAGAGTTTGTCAAGAAATACCTGGTCAGAGAGCTTTCTGCCTTGAGCCAATCCGAAGGACGCGAGTTGCTTCCTCGGGTTCAAACCCTTCCCACTTGCGGGATGCAGAAGCTGAGATTCTGATTTCATAAATGCTTTCTCCATTTCCATGTGTAAACAGACCTGGAGATTGGAAATGTCAATGCACTGCAGTTGGAAATATTGTCATCGATTTTTCATTTGTAAGTCCGGTTGCTTTGTATTCCTTGTTCTGTATATGCTGACCTCAGATTTTCATTGTAATGTCTGGATTCTGCCATCAATTGTTCTGAGCCAGTGCCCGTGAGTAGGAGATCATAAAATGCTCTGTACATGTTCTGAAAACTTGTACTTGAGTTTGCCTCTACCTGGTCATATATTTCCGTTCGCGACTGCTGGTACTGGGGCCCCGATCCATCAAGCAGCAGAGGTTGAAACGGTTGATCTTTCCCACGGACCGAGAGTGTATTTCCTCGCAAATTGAAAACCGACATTCTGCCAGCTTGAGGGTCCCCGAAAATAAGTGGGGTGCTCTAACGCCCCAGGGATCCCTCCTCTACACCCTTCCCCTCTTTAGCAAGGCCAGCAGCACGGCATCTGCCATCCCCGCCGCTCCGCCTCTCCCTCGTCTTCCCATGACCGAATTTCCCCAGCGCCTTTCCATCCCCGGACCTGCTGCCGCCTCTTCCGCTCTCCCTGCGCGGGGGGAGCGCTGGCCCGTTTCCGCCTCGTCCTCCCCGGCGCCGCCACTCAACGCGCCCCCCCCTTCAGCCCCTTCCCCTCCGTCCCCGCTCGCGATCTCTCTCCAGCGTCCCCTTCGGAGATCCTGCGCGTGGGCCGCGGCAGGAGTGCCTGGTCCCATCTGCGCCCTCCCCCGATGCGTACTGATTTGGGGGTGGGGCTGGACGCATCCACGGGGAAGGAGCTACCAGAGGAGACGAGTCTCGCCGGCCAAAGCGCCTACTTCCCGGCTTAGCAAATGTCGCTGAGGATCTGGGGGGGTGGGGGGGGGGGGGGGAAGGTGCTCTCCAAGCGTCTTGCCAGGGGGCCGTGCGGGCTGGCCTTTCCCATCCTCTTCGGACTGGCATCGGGGCGCTCTTGGACTCCCAGGCCCAGGTGGGTCCCTTCCCCCTCAGAGGCTCCCCGAATATTTCTCCGGATCCCGTTTTGGCACCCTCGATTTTGTGGCTCGGTTCATGCGGGCGATGCGCCCCGATCTTCCTTGCGATTTAGGGAGGCCTCTCCGTACACCACCAGGGAGAATGTAGCGCATCCAGACGTGCAGGATCCGGCTTTTCGTGGTTCCCAGCAGCGAGACGCGCCTGGGAAGGGGGGGGGGGAAGGGGGGGGAAAAGGTGTAGGGGAATCGGGGGCGAAGGAGGCCGAGCTTGGAAGGGTGTTGGTGGAGCGGAAGGACAGGGAAGGGTCCCCACCTTCCGCTTTGCGTCACAGCGGGGAGAGCGCCGCAGTCCGATCCAGTCTCTAGACTTGAGTGCCGGGATATTCTGGGTCACGGTGCGGGGAGCGAGTCCTGCGTGGGGCTGGAGCAGGGAGCTCCTTCCCCTCAGGAGCTCCTGGCGGAGTCTGGGGCGGTGGGGCAGGATGGGGTTCTCAGCGTAGGTGCGGATTGTGATTCTACAATTCCAGAAGTTGTTCAGAGAACACAACCAGTCTGGGAAAACTATTAAGGGTTACTGTAAGATATAACAGTCTCATAAGATAAACGGATCTCAAGGGTATAAATGTTAAATTACTTTAATTAGTTCTCATATTAAAATTGTGCAGGTCCCCAGAACTTGCTGGCTCAGATCCTTCCATCTAGTTTAAAGATGATTAGAGGCAGAATAATTTCTCCACATGGGTTTCCTCTGCCGTCACTCAGGGATTTCAAAAGATGTTTGTAGCCCAATGGTGCCCGTTCTCCCAATTCCTAAAGCAGACGAAGGGCATCCAGGGATGGAGTCGGAGTCCTTGGACTTAGGGGAGACATTCCAAGCCACACGACTCTGGAACCAGCCCAGAGAGAAACCTGGGAGATGAAACGTGGCTCCCCGTTTCTTCTGTGTTTGTGATTTCTCTGCCATGTGAGCTTCAGTGTTTCCTGAGACGCCACCCCCCCCCCCGCCCCGTTTCCCCATAATTTGGTTGGTGGGGAGTGTATGGATGAGACCAGACAGCTGACAGCCAACTTGGACTTTCTAAACTCGGTCAGGTTCCCACAGAAGCCCTTCTGGGAGCTATTTGGCTGGAGAGCGGGGTAGAAACGCGAGAAAAGAGTGAATTAGATATAAAGAAGCAACTTCTATAAGCTTTCGTATCTTCACTCCGAGAAGAGATACTCTCATCTGGCACTTGCTCTCCCCGGAAATTCAAGCGACATGGCCTTGATGGGGCCAGACCTCCTACCATGGCTCTGACCATTATGAACACCCCCCCCACACACACACACACACATAAACACACTTAAATTTCTCCCCTAACCACATTGTGGGCCCCATTCCCCCACTGGGCCCCGTTCTGAGATCCTCTGGAGCCCCTTTTTTGCGCACAGAAACTATGGCACCCCGGATTTTGGGGCTCACTTGATGGAGGCGGATGCGCCGAGTGTTTTGAGTGCGGTTCGGATGTCCGCGCCGCACAGAACTATTGAAATGCGACGCATCCAGCGGCGATTCGCGATCCGGCTTTTCCGGCCCTCCCGCGGGAAGCAGTTCCGGAGTGGGCGGGCAGCAGGGTCTCGCGTCGCTTCCGCTCCGGGTCTGGAGTGCGCGAGGGGAGCGCGGCGCTGCCTGGAGGGGCGGGAGAGGCGCGGGGGGAGCCCCGCGGACGCCCCGGCCTGGTGGTCCCGGCAGCGAGACGGGCTCGGAGAAAGTCAAGGTATGCTCGTGGAGGGGAGGGGGCGGAGGGGAGCCCGGGGAGAAGGAGGGGAGCACGGGAGGCGAAGCAGGGGGAGATCCCCCCCCCCCCTTGGCGTTGCGAGTGCGATCGGGAGACGAGCTGTACTTTCCTTGCTGGAACAGCTGCGTTTCCTCCTGTGCCGGTGCCGCGCAAGACGGGGCCGCGGTTGGGGACGCGGCGTCATTCCGGACAGGCTCTGCTGGGCTTCCCCAGGTGGGGCCCGTGGAGGCGCCCGCTGGAGCTGCTGCTCCGGGAAAGAGTCTCCGGAGGGAAGGGGCCGCCGTGGCGGCCGGCTTTGTGTCCACCCCCCTACAGCGCCATCCTGGCTCATGGCGCCTTCCCAAGATGGTGCCGGCATGAGCTCCTGTGGAGGCGGCCCCAAGGGACCTCCGCTCGGATCCCTCCTCGGAGCCGAAGCCAGGAGTGAGGCCAGCCGCGCCTCCGTTGCAAGGCCGCCTTCGGTGCCGGGAGCGATTCCCAGCGTTGCCGCTCGGCATGGATGGGTTCTTCCTGCATTGTGGGTCTCGGAAAGCTTCCCTTCCCGGGCCACCCACCCTCGCCGAGCTGCTGTGGAGCTGAAGCGGGAGGGGCGTGCGTGCCCCTCTGAATGCGCGGCGGGGGTGGAGCAGGAACAGCCATTGGGGCCCCGGGGTGGCCCGGTTTCCACCTCTCTGACTCCTTCCAGGCAGCAGCAGTGGGGCACCGATCCACACCCCTGCCTCCTGGTGCTGGGGTGCCCCACTGCTGCCTGACAGGCTGCCATGCTGGGGGGGCAGGGCCTGGTCCCTTTCCATGGGATGTGGCCAGATCTCAACAGGGCCCAGGGGGCAGGCCCTGAACTCCTCCCGCTGGTTTACTCCCCTGCAGACCTTCCGAGGGCAGCCATGAAGAGCGGTCCACACCCCATCCCATTTTCCAAAGGGACCAATCCAGGCCCTGCCTGCACATCTCTCTAGTTTTCAGGGGAAGGGGCTCTGGCGTGTGTGTTGGGACCTTCTCTTGCCCAGATCAGGGAGGCCTCTGGGCGGCGTTGCTCAGCTCATGTGCCACCTTCCTGGGGCAGACAAGGTGGCTGCATCCACCCAGTCCGCCATTGCACCCCCTGCCAGATTTCCACGGGTTCGGGTGGGAGCAGCTGTGGGCTGCCAGACAGACGAACTGGCCCCCTGTGGCTTGTCCCCCCTCCACTGCCCCTGCCACGGATATCGTGGGGAGGGGCAACTGTGGAAGCTCCCCCTCCCCTCCACTGGCTGGACAAACAGGTGTTCCACACACAGTGTGGCTTGTATGCCCTTCCAGGATATTTCCACCATGCCTCTGCAAGGGCTGCTGGGTGAAGAGTGGACCCCTGGGAGCTGCCTTGCGGGATGGCCGGTTCCGGCGCACATGGTAGGCATGCCATGAGGGGAGCCGACTGGAGACGGGGGTCAGACTAGAAGGCCTTGGAGCCCCTTCTGACTCACTCTGTTTCTGTGTCTCTTCCCATGTGGCCCTGGCACCATTTGGCTCATCCCAGGGATTGCTCTCTCCATTCAGTTCCAAGCCGGGTCTCGCAGGAAGCCCGAAAGCTGAGGGACTGGCCCTGGAACATGCCTGGGAAGCCCACGGAGGGCTGTCTCTGCAGATTCAGCTCCAGCTTATGCAAGTCCAGCTCCCCATGAGCACCATCAACCAGACGGAGAGTGGCAGGGTGCTCTTGCGCGTCTTAACGTTCCTGTTTCTTAAGGTTTTATGCTAAGTACAAAGCTCATAAAATGCCCATAAATCAAAGTCTAAATCCCAGGTACGTGGAGCAGCGCGCAGGCAGTGGGAAAGGGATGGCACTCCAGTGACCCAAGCAGAGGCAGCTGCATTCTGGGGATTTTCCAGTGGGATTGGCTGCCCCCTCCTGTCCTCATTTCTGCCTTGCCTTTGTCCCCATGCGGGTGGTTTGCAGGAGAGGGAGATCCGTGAGCATCTGTCGGCCTTTTCGGCAGAACCAGGGACCGTGAGGTGCTGAACACAGAGAGACTTTCCTGCAGGGAATGGAGGAAGCGTGACATAGACCAGGTAAAGAAAGAGGGAAAAGCAAACACCAAGCAGGGGGAAGGGTTTACTGTGGGTGAAAAGTGGCCAATTCTCCTATATCTCTTGAGTAGATCAAACCAATAAGGAAAAGTTAAACAGGAAAGCAGTAGGGATTAAACCCGCAGTGGGAGAAAACCCAAAGAAAAGATATCAGTGAAAAGAGGTTCTGGCATGTGGGAGTCTTTCTCCAAAGAAGACCCAAATGCCTCCAAGCTGGAGGTTCAAACAAAGTCTGACTAAATATAGGAATGGACCTTCAAACACCAAGCAGGGAAATGGTCCATTGTGGGGTGAAAGTGGACAATTCTCCTGTACCTGTTGAGAATCATAGTAATCTGGTGCCAGGGAAGAAGTCCCTCCGGCGAGGAGCCATAGGAATTGACAGCTTACATTCCCCTCCATTGTGCAAAGTGGAGTCAAGTTGAGGGAGACCTGGAGAGCTTCTGACCAGGCTGTACCTCTTCCTCCAAGCCTGAGGTTCAAACGAAGCCTAAATATCAGCCTGGACCAGCTGCTGCTGCTCCCTGCAAAGGCAACTTATCTCCAGGAATCAGGGGAAGGTTACCTGGACCCTCTGAGCTGGAGCTGAAGGGGGCCAAAGGCCTTGCATGGATGGCACTTCCTTTGCAGTGCTGGCAGCTGATGGGTGGGCGTTTTCTCCTTTCGGACCAGCCAGCTCTGCCCTCCCTCACAGCTCCCAAAGACACCCCAGAGCATTGTTCAGGGCAATCCCATAAGTGGGTTGATAGTGTAAATGCAATCTCCAAAGAAATTGGAGGAGAT